TAACAGTTCCCACGACGGTTGGACGACAAGTTACAATGAAGCTATTGGCTCCAGTGTACCAGAATAAATTTACAAGTGGTGTTACAATTATCGGCACAAGAGAAACTTATACAGAGACATTCGAAATAAGGAAGATAACTGACTTATACCAAGAATGCATAGGCAAAAAAAAAATACAAAATAATAGAATGTTTACATAGAAAATCTTACGACACGCGAAAAGGGCAGGTCACGCGTCCGCGACCCCCCAAAAGAGCACAAAATACTCAATAGCTTAGTAGCTCAAAGCACAAAATACGAAATAGACTCTCCGAGTGCCTAGTAGTGCCGGAGCAATTGCAAGGTACAGACGTCGGTCCATAGAGTTGATCGGACCTAGGAAGCTAATAAGACCGGATGAGTGCACCGAACGCACGCATTATCAGTAGCAGAGCGCCTCAAAATGCGCCCCTGTAACTATCAAGAGTTAACCTAATTTCGACCGTTGCCGTCACACTCTGCGGCCTTAGAGCCGTTGAGGGCTGCTTACTTGCCAAACGCAAGTTGGACACTTAGGTACTAAGGTACATGATATACATACATAAACACTTAAAACGAGATTGCATAACTACTTAGGAGGCTTAACTTATCGGTTTCGTGACCCCAGCTTGATCGCTGCCGGACGCGCAGGCGCATAGTTCTGCGCGATTTAGTGAATCCCTAGGCCTTACAAAGTCGAGAACGGGTGGTTGGGTAGACATATTAGGACGGGTTTGGTCGAGCTGACGATGCTTCGGGTCCGATCCAATTGGAGGCACGCAGGAAAGGGGTTTGCGGTGCGCTGCCGCGGTGAGAAAGATGCGTGCAATGGGTCGCCAGTGAGGTCCGCGGGCCCGCGCGGGGCCGGGTCGGTCTGACGGGCAGCGCGAGGGCCGCCGGACCGCGCTGCGCGACACCCTGCAACAGAGAGAAAGGACAAGGCAGAAGGAGCGTGTCTGGATCGGCACCGTGCGTCGTAGTAAGACAATAAATAGGAGTTCATGTAAAATGACGAGTTACGAAGTCCGAAGTTGGACACGTACCAAGGCTTGGCTTGCCCGCATCGGCGCAGTCTGCAGTGTTGTTGCCGCGGCGAGCTGCTCGGCTCGGCGCCGTGGTCCGCGAGGGTGCGGACCCTGGAGGGCCGCCCGGAGGACTGGATCTGCGTTCGCATGTGGAGCGATCACGGTCCGGGAGGCGGCCGCGATGATTACACAGTTGACGGCCGCGGGACGGGTGCTGGGGACGACGACGAAGTCGACGTGCGGCAGGCCGAGCTGCGATGTCCGAAGTGAGCGCCCTGCACCTCGCCTTTAGCGAGACGGGCAGTCGTTGAAGGACGTTGCCGACGGGCGCGGCTGGGTTGCTGGGATGCCCGCGCTCCTTCAGGGCGCGGACGGCGTCCGGGATGCTCTGGACGAGGGCGCCCGGGCGGTGGAATCCGCCGAGGACGCGGCTGCGGCCTGTGGTCGGTGATGGCCGTAATGGCCTGTGGGCCCGCTTGCGGAAGCGGTGTCCTGGAGGACACGGCATGCGATCGGGCCTAAGCCCGGGGCGTCGCGGGTGGCGACGCGCTTCTATTGAGGCGTAGCATCTGAAGGAATCCAAGCTGGCTGCTTCTCACGAGGTCAGCTGATACAATAATAACTCGCAGACGACCCTGGTCATTTCCAGCGGTGAACGCGCTTACGGCGTGTTACTAACTGCTTTGATCACGAAAGTGTAAGAGCATGAACATTGAATAAACAAAAATAACTTAACTCTCGACCGTTAGGGAAGGAACGGGTAAGGAAATTGTTGGCCAAACAATTTGACTATTAAAGGAGTCACACTTTTGCTCCATTGCAAGTGGTCACGAACCGTTACAACCGAAACAAAGATCCACTTCCTACGAAGGATCTGCAAATACGCTCCTGTAGTTAACCACAGAAAAATATCGAACTTAGATGTGATAAATAATTGCGTCAGCATGCAATTATCGCTTAATCATAACTTAAACCTGACCATTACATGGCTGTAGGGGTGCGATGCGCACTACCCTCTCCCTTAAAAATAAAACTGCTCAAAGTTTTTTAGAACACGGTGACTATTAAGAAGTACTCATTCCTCTGTACAATCCCCTAAACTCTGGTCGGTCCATAACCGTGGACGCTGCGCCCGTGTCGCTGATATTCTGAACTTAATCCTCCCTATGATCACTGTACCATGGCATAACCATGGGTTTTTGAAAATCGAAACAAAACTACAAAAGAATGGCTGAGTGCGACCCACGACCGGCGTCGCCTCATCGCTTGCTTGCTCTCTCGCGGTTTGTCCGCGAGGCAACATGCAAGGCGATCACGGCTGAACCAAAGAATGGGGCATGGCATGCCCCCCAAAGGATAATAGAGCATTTACCAACGCTCGCAAAACGATTTGAAAACAGAGAAAAAAAAATGCAAAAGCAATTTAACGAAGAAAAAGGGAGAAAAGAGAACTGAAAAAGGCACTACGTTTGACGACGAAGTCTTAAACTGTTGTATTATTATAAGGTGGCTTTTGAAAGTTCGTCAATTTGCTAAAGTACTATGTTGATCAAAATTGTAAAGTGAACGTGAAGTTAACAGAGATTTACTTTGCTTCCGAAGATCCTCATTGACGTAAATGTGAGGTGGAAGCGCCTTAACATCGAAAAGAAATGGGGAAATTTGAACTCGTAAAGGAAGGGTAAAAACTATCTGCTCGCGAAAACGAAGTTTGATGCAGATAAATTTTGTGCGTTTGAACGGACACTTGTAGTTTTGAAATATTGATCAGACTCAATTCTTAAAATTGCGAATGGGAAAGGTAAAACAAAGAAAATTAACAAGGACAAAACAAATTGAACAGGCAAACAAATATGAATTTAATGCCGTAGAGTCCCAAAGTGGACTTCTTCTTAGAACGAAACATGTTAACCATGCTACTGCTTGCTGCCGCGAGAAGTTTTAGTAAGAGATATAGGATCATATTGCCGTTGCGTTAAGCTTTGGTTCATCGGTGAACCATGTTCTTAGCCAACTCATGCTCATTAATGTCAATTCTGCACCTTGACCCGCTCAATGTTAGTATGGTCGGGGGGGTCATGGGAAAGAGGAGGACCAGTCTGGTCATTCGTTGTCACCCACGGTGGGTCTACGTCGCGCCGACGAGGGCGCGGTGGCGCCTAAGGAACCGCAGGATCAGGTTACAAGCATAAAACTCGACAAAATCCACCGCATGCGTATGAAAGGTTAATGGAGCTAATGCGTAGTTAGCTTGCTCCAGGAAAAGCATAGCCACCGCCCCGTTCGATTGTTGCTAAGAGGTTGCCACGATTTCGGAATGAAGTAAAACAAGGCGCCAAAAGGTCAAAATCGGTAGTTTACAAAATCCAAAGAATGTCCGCCAAAGGACGCAAAGGTAAAGAAAACGCAAAAAGTCGGGGAAGTATGGAAATTTCTCTAATTAATTGAACTTCCGAGAGGAGTGAAACAATAGAAAGAACAACAACAAAAATAATGCGGTAGTAAAACGTTATAAAACATAAAATGAACTACTAGAAATGAAAACTGGAACCGAGAGGTAAAGATTGTGGCAACGCGTTTATTTTGGTTTGAAAACTGATCCTTGCGCAATGCGGAATGTCACCCAGTGACATTGTGAGGGCCTTGTCCAAGGGCGGCGCCAACCATGGCGCCCTGAGAGGGTCTCTCATCTGGAGAACATCGACGAAATGACCACGACATCAGCTGTATGGCATAGAAGGAGAGGATTAATTGGCCGCGGCTGCTGCAGCCACGGCGCTGGGCGGCGCGGCCCTTCGATGAGCAGTGGGGCCCGCGCCCGCCTGCGCGGAGGCGCGTTGGGCGCGCCCTCGAAACACGGCGTACCGCCACTAAGGTGGATCACTTAGCATCTCAAATGGAGACATTACCGTTTGCCCGAAACTTTTCACGGGCCAGTGGAGGATGGAGCCTGCAGTCCCGGCTGCAGCTCCCAATTGACACCTGGCGGCCTGTAAGCGGGTCGCCTTACTACAGGCGTTCGGCCGCCCAGGCGATAACGCGTCGTGCACTCACTGTGCACTCCGTTATTGGAAATACGGACAAGTTCGTATCTTCAAGTCACAATCATTGATAGATGTGTCTTCAATGCTGTCAACAATGGCCGGAATCTCTATCCTTTATTTGCCATGTTGATTTGTCTCCACTACCATGGTTGGCGCCGTTCTCTGCACCGCAGTGCAAGACACGGCCGCCGTCCTACGGCGCCTACAAGAAAACTGCCAGTCCGAGCTACCTCCTTATGAGGGCTTTGGCACTGGGCTTATTGAGCCAGGCTGTTGGGCCCCTTAATATATCCTACTCAACTTTTTGTCGCTGTCGCTTAGTGCAGGTAACTCTTTGAATGTGCGTGTCTCCTCTTTTAAGACACGCCTATGATCGGCTAAAAACCCCTTATGAAGTCTGACGGGAGACACTGTTGTTGATACATGAATATTGGACCATATCAAGAAAATGCCCTTAGGATCGCAGGTCGGCGACCAAATTAAAACCCTGGCAAGCCAAAAAAATATATAAGGAGCAAAGAAAGTGCTATAATTAATTTGAATTTATCAACACACTCATGTGTAAATGGGGCGACGCTCGGCATCTCATTGTCCTTGAATTG